TACACATCAAAATAATTTCAGCTCCATTTAAAAAACCATTTAGTTCAAGTGTGACACATGAACCATTATGCATTTGTGGAAACCAATTTTATGTGATCTACGATTAAACTAACCTTTCAGAGAGGTGTAAAGTGTGATGGTTATCATGTTTTAAAAGCCTTGCAAGATCACATAAACAATTTCAAGCTAACAGTTTTCTAAACACATCAAAATAATTTCAGCTCCATTTAAAAAACCATTTAGTTCAAGTGTGACACATGAACCATTATGCATTTGTGGAAACCAATTTTATGTGATCTACGATTAAACTAACCTTTCAGAGAGGTGTAAAGTGTGATGGTTATCATGTTTTAAAAGCCTTGCAAGATCACATAAACAATTTCAAGCTAACAGTTTTCTAATGGTTTGTGTTTAAAATGATTTTGAGGCAAGTTATGCACTGTGCACTTTTATCTCTACCTTCTTTTTTAACATATGGTGCACAAACTTTCCTTACAAACAGAACTTGGTGCAAGTTAATTCTATCTCATAGTAACAAAGGGGAGAACCACATGAGTGCTAAGGACCAGGGATGAACTGCACTGTTTCTCAGCCACCAGTGTAAAGTACTTCCATCTCCCCTGCTTTGACTGGTATTTTCAAAACAAGGCAATTATTTATAAGTTAATCTTTACAATAAAGCTCATATCCAGGGAACTGATCCTTTAAAAAGTCTTTAAATACAGAAAATAAATAATAAATGCAGGAACTGGTAGATTCTAATTTCTTTTGCTGCTGAAATTTTTTTTGCCAGTGCTGAAACCTTGATCCAGGTGTTATCATCTCCAGCATCAAATGCCCGAACTCAGCTCTTTACCTTTCCTGTTCTTTTTCTGATGTTAAAATTATCTTTGACCACATAATGATGAATCTCCATTGATCTCTATACTTACCTTTGAAATATGATCTTCACACTCCTCATCTTTACTCTTGGCCAATAAGATATTCTGCTCCCAGTTAATAAATGTCTTTCTTGAATCCCTTACCCACTTTTCAATCTTTTTGTTATGCTCACAGTCTGACTTTGATATGTCTTCCAAGGTCTTAGCACAGATTTTTATGTATCTTAAACAAACTACTTAGCCCTTCCATTAAATGAGACCAGAAAACCCTTTTTAAGTCTTTATATATTGTTACATTCACCAATTTTTTTTTAGTTCACTGTCATGTTCAGTCTGTTTCTCTCCCTTTTGGCATATGCATATTGATCCTTACCATATACGTTTCTACATTATGGTGAAAACAGGCGTAGGTTGGTTTTTTTGTTTTGTTTTGTTTTGTTTTGTTTTTAATGAGATGTTCCTGATCTTCCTACATTATTTGATGGGTTTGTTTTTGACAGCATCAACTGAGAGATGTTGGAACAGCTGACTTTATGCATCAGAAAGCAAAAAACATTTACTTTCCTCTCAAACACCTGTGTTTGCAATGGGCTATCATCATCCCAGTGTGACCATGAAGGTACTAAAGGCTTCACACACTTATTACAAATAAATAAAAATTAACATCTTGTGTAAGACTGTCCTCTGTAGCATAAAAAGATATAAATAAATTAAAATGATCAAAACACAAGATTTCTGCATTTGTGTAACATTCTAGCAATACCCTCCAACATATTTATAGTTCTGGTACTTTAAAATTTCTGTCAATTCTGAACTGAGTAATCACATTCAAAAAATGTCACTATGAAACACCCTCTTTTCCAAGCAGAGGCAAGGAAAGTACTAGTGAAACATGACACAAAGATTTACTAAATCTGCATTCTCACCATAATCCCAGGTTACCTTACAATTGTTTTAAACTTGCATTTTTTTTCTTTCATAACACTTGCAGTTTCAAATGAGTCTGTATGTGTTTGTGCGCCTTCCCCTCCTCCACACAGGCAGCTTTTTTATAGCTAAACTGAAAATTTTCCCATGCAATTTCTTCCTGTATAACAAAAACATAATGAAAGTTTCTCCTCCCACCTACTCAGCAATTCTTTGTTTGGCAGATAAATATTTTACATGTAGTAGGCAGGAAGTAATTTGCAGAAACAGAGATAAGAAACTATTCTTACTTTCTGGGAAGGTCTTTATTTTGTTTCAAGGCAAATAATTTTGGGACGAAAATACTATTTTGGACTTGTTCTTGTCAATTTTTTAAATTATTTTTAAAACTAACAAAATTCTTACTTTTGACAATGGGAATTTCACTGGAAAATGCCTCATTTTGCCAGTTTAGGGCAGCAGGAACCCATGCCAAGAACCTGAAGGTTTGCTAGATGTGATTTTGTGGCAGAACTCAGATCAACAGTTGCTAAGAACCTAGTTCCATTGCTGAAACCATGCTGGGACTGTTATAAGTGGAAGGACCTCCATTTAAAGCTCTAAAATATTATAGTCTGACATTGGTGCCGATTTTCCACCTTCAAAAACTACCCAGGGTAGATAGTAAGAGTGTTTGACTTGGGATAGGTTTCTGAACAAATGGGAGATGTCTTGTTACCTTTCAGTATAAAAATTTTGACAACATAACATAGTTGATTTAAACATTCTTCTACTTAACGCCCAACCTCCCAATTTCATTAGTATATCCATATCAGATCTTCATCACTGTAATAAAATATTTGATTAATTTGACTACAGTTAGCAGTGAAAATTGCACATTGTATAAGTAAAAGTCAAAACTTTAAGACATTGACTTTAGGACAGAAGACAGGAGAATTAGACTTCAATATCATTTGAAGAATTCAGATTTGCATCCATCCATATGAGGTATTGCCCCTCTGTTGCTCACAAAGTAGACACTTTGTTTCTCTAACATATACTATTTATATTTTTTTCTATTTGAGCTTCACAGTTATACAAATACTATTTTTTTTTCTTATAAAATCATTATGTAGAATGTGACAAGTGGCTTCATATTAACACCCTTCCTTCCTCTGCTAAATGGAAAACAGATAAAACATTAATGGAAAAGCATTTTGGTGTCAAAGCCATTAACATTCTTCCAAAATGCATAACTGCTCTCTACTATCTTCAGTCAATATTGCCAACATAAAAAGATGCTCATGAACATACACGGGGGACAGGGGACTAGGGAGGGAAGGAGAGGAATTGGAATGTGGAATGGGAAAATAAAGTAATGTCTGCACCAGGGTAGGCATCTTCATTGAGCAGGAACCTGGGTGTTTATACAAAAGGACACGTGCAATTAGAAAGGCAAGCAGATGAGAGGATAGAAAATAAACCAGTGTTGAGCAACAGCAGCAGCAGCAGCAGCAGCCAGTTCTACTTCTGGTTTGGAGGGAAAAAAAAGGCAAAAGAAAACCAACAAAACAACCAAACAAACAAACCAATAACTGAATAAAGTTTGTAACTATTTTTTTTTTAATTTCACAAATTTTCACAAGGACAAAGTTATAGAAGGAAACCCACAGCAGTTGCTAGGTCATGCAGAACCATTAATTGTCATACCTTGGCCCATTCTATTCATCCTTGTTGCACTTTAGAAAAAGAAGTAAGCTATGTAAGTTTTACAATGCTTTTAAACTGTCGTATTTCCTGTTGAGCACTTTAACTGGCACATCCTTGTAGTAATAAATATTCTTAGGGCAAAACGTGATAACTTTCTTTGAAAAAAGAAACACATGAATTTGTCTTCATGATGAAGAGCAACTGTAATAGACTCATTTGTAGGGCAGCATCCAGAATTTGCAACGTATATCACTGATAGGACTTAGCGCTGCATTTGAATCCACACACACATATATACCGTATTCCAATCATTATGCTTAACACCGCACAGTGCTACTCTCTGTAGCCCACTTATATGGTTCCAGGTTTTGTCAGTAAAAGTGCTTGGCTTCATTGTCAATTCACACAGCAAGCAAATCTTCAAAATTATCATGCTTGGGGAAGGGGAAGGTAGAAAACAACACTAACCATAAAAGCACCTTGTCTGGGTTGGCAGTTACGATGCTAATCACGCCCACATTCAAGTATTTTATTTTTTGTCTGCATGCTTTCTTGCTGGGTAGCCAGGGAAGGTGGTATGTGTTTCTTGCCTCCCTGCCCTGAGAAACTCTTCATCCCACCTAGAACTAGTTCTATATTTCAAAAGGTTGATATATGAAATTTAAAAAAAACCCAAGCTTGAAGTATCATTTCTGTGGCTCTCTAGGACAGGTTCCTTTCCACGACTTTATTTAATTCCCTGTCTCAGTTCTTTTTTGGCTAGGTGTGCCATTGGTGAGAATCTGCAAGAATCTAACTCTGGCAAAGTGCCTAGAACATGATGCCTCAGCACAGTGAATATTTTCACCCTCTTGTTCTGTTCATTAGTTGTCTGGGGCACAGTACTACTCAAATGGAAGAGATCTTAAAGGCACTCAGTTGTCTTCCTCCGTATAACTTTGTACTGCATACTGGCATACACCTGTTGAAAAGAATCAGCTAGAACATGGAGCAGGATTTCTAGAGAATCTTCACATATTAGGACTCTTGTTGGAAGATTTATACCATTACTCTTACATGGAAAAATCAAAACTACCATCTGGGGAAAGGAACAAAGTCCCTTGAGATTTCATACTTAAGCATAGAAAAATGCTTGCTCTTTTCTGAACATTATTTATTCTGTACATAAGGTGACTAATTCACCTTTTAAAGATGTAGAAGTCCCAGGAAGGCAGTTTTAATGACTTACATCCAATATTTATGAAACATATGGCTTTTTATCCCAAATGTCAAAAGTGAAAGAAAATATAGCTATGCATGTGGCAGTATAAATAGACAGAATAATAATTTAATATGCAATTAGACTCTTTCTAAACTTAAATTAAACCACTGGAGTTTTACAACTCCATGCTCAGACAATTTCTGTGTTAAAAGGAATAGACACTATCTCCAGAAGTCTACTATTTTAGAGAAAGTCCCTAAACAAGCACAAAAGTCCCTGATGTTGCTTTGGTATAAAGCAGGTGGGTAGCAATAATCTATACAAAGTGTGTAAGCCCTAGACAATGTAAGCTTTGAGAGTGAAAAATCAGTAGGATTTTTTTTTTAATGGGTTAGTTTTATAAGCTTCAAATAAATGTAGCAAATCCTGTAAATATGAATATAAAAAAACCTACTGCAACATACATCAAGACTTCTGCACTAAATTACTTTCTTTGTGTAACTCTGACATCAAGAGCAAGTGTTCATGTTAAATATACTCTATTTTCTGATATGTAGAGTAACTGCAGTGAGTTATTTATGTTTTCAGTGTGCCTATGGGTTTAGAAATTTTTTTCTCCCCTAGCATCATAAATAACTTTTGGTCCGTCTGCTTTGTTGCTGTTGTGCTTAAGGGTTTTATGGTGGTGAAATTAAAATGACAATCACATGCACACTGTCATACATATGCAAAATATGTGTACAAAAAGGGAGAACTCCATGGGAAAACAGGGAACGCTACTGCTGGAAACATTAACTGGGGAGAATGGGTGGTGAATGCAAGTTTCACACACAGTGGGAGCAGGTACACATATCAAAGTCTATCTTCCTGCACATACTTCTGTTTTTCCCGTGAATCCCTGGTCTTGGTGCGATTCGGTCGGTTTGCTGTTGATGGGATAGAGTGAACTGATGAGCTCTTCTTGCTGGAAGAATAGGAGGAATGGGAGGAATGAGAAAGACTGGCCCGGGACTGGCCAGCATTGTGGTCAAATTGCATCAAACAGAAGATCAAGTCCGTCGGCACAAGCTCAAATTCATATGGTGGGTTTGTGATAACATAACTGGAAAGAAAGTAGGAAAGAAAGAGAAAGCAGGTTTAGATTTGTACTAAAAAATTTCTTCTAGATTTCTGTCCTGAACGTTTATCCAGATTTTTGCATTTCTGTTTCATTCAGTGTGTACCTAATTTTAGCTCACAAAATACCCATTATGATTTTGGACCTTCCTATGTCAGATATCACTTTTGGATGTTTTCTGTTGCACAGACACACTGTCTGAGTAGGATGTTCTTCAAGTGAAACATGTCATGACTTTTCCGAGAAGACACTGTAATGCAATGACTTTAGCAAGCAGATTTACATATTGTCCAAAACCAGTAACATACCCACCAACTACGGTATGACGTCCTCAAAGAGTTAGATTTTGTGGCAAAGTTATGTAGAAAATGAAGAAAGCTCTTTTTTAGATTTATTGCAGGCACTGTATTTAAATACTGTCAGTAGAGCAAGGGTTATAATTATTTGTTTGGATTTTAAGTGTATGTAAAACTTGTTAAGGAAAACACATCAGCAAATACGCAGTGAGGTTAATTTTGTTCATTCATTCCACATGTATATTCATGGCCTCAAAGAGCATTTATAAAGAGAAATCTGCACATCCAAGAATCCAGCATTGCTAAGTATACATCCCAGTCCTGAAATACAAACTCTATCAATTTCAAGTATCCCCACCTTCAACTAATCCCATTTCAGGGTAGGAAGGGTTTATAGAACCTGCCGCTAAATTTTTCCACGCATGTGAAAAACATACTTGAGCAGGGTAATACGCATTTTTTTCTCCAAGCAATAAATGAATAAAAATTGATCACAAAGCTCACAACTTCTTTTCAAATTACATCAGTGCTCATAAGAAATGTGGTTTAGCTGCCTCAGGGACAGAAGTCACTTATTAATCTAACAAATAATCCCGACTATAGCAAGTACAGTATAAATGTAAACTGAAAATAATTTTTTCTACACAATTTGTCCAAATCTTTACAGAAGAAACCGCTTTTGTGGGCTGCAGGGTTGTTTATTGCCATGT